AATCTAAATGTTAAATGTAAATGTAAATCTAAATGTTAAATGTAAATGTTAAATATAAATGTTAGAGTGTAGACTCTAAATGTTGAGAACATATGCAAATTCGCCACGCCCATCTGCATAGAAATGGGCGGTAACGACCCATCACAGGGAACACTTGCAAGGTCTTCAGCATATAACCAGAACTCAGCTAGCAAGAGCTAAAAATCACTGAGCAGCTCAGCCGAATGTGCCAAACCAGCCTCGTTATAGCTTGTTGGGTTATTAACTGAACGGGTAGAACAAAAAACAGTATATTTTTGCCACAGAAGTGGCAAGTACAAAAATGTTTCGTAACTTTACAAATGGCGCCCCATATACTCCTTCATTGAGAGTGTCATAACATTCTCAATAACCTGCTGGTTCCATGCCGCCACTCTGCATGACAGAGCCCTTCTGCAGAGGACAGTCAAGGTGTGCTCTAAAATAATTGGATCCCCAGTCAGAACTCTGTCCTCCTGTGAGCTGCAAACACTGAGAACAGCACACAGAATCCTACAGGACTCTTCACATGTGCTGTTCCCAGCATTTGAGTGGCTTCCTTCTGGGCGCCGAATCCGCTACCCGGATTGCAGGACTCAAAGGAGAAGAGCCACTTTTGGTCCAAAGGCTATTCAACTTTTGAACTCGAAGCCAGTATTGCCCTCTGCCTCTATGCACTAAACCCCATAAAGGCATAACACATTTCATTCCCCACTACCTATTGACCTCCCCATTTTTGCACCTTATGTTAGTCTGTTAACTTAATTACTTTCAATTGCAATTTTGCACCTTATGTATATATTGAGAACCATTTTATTACTTATTTCTTTATTTTTATTATTATTATTACTTTATTCTGATTTTTTATTTTTATTTATTTGTTCTATTTCTTTAAGTCTGCTTCTGTGTCTGTGCAACACTGCTCTACGTGCCTCAAATTGCCTCTCGGGGACAAATAAAGTTTTTTGATTTGATTTGATTTGATTTGATTTGACTTACGTAAGCTAATACACACAGGGATCGGACAGGGTACACGCAAGACATGGGCAGACACATGCGTGACAATAAGGAAATATAACCATTAACATTAACATTAACAACAACAATACAAGGGCTATTTACAGCTGCACGTATGTGGGACATGCTGGGACATGTGCCCCGCCGGTGCTACAACATGAAAAGCGCTATTTGCAAATGAGTAGGTGATCAGGACTGCTTCTTAACTGAAACACTGGAGTCAATGACTCTTGTTTTTTATTGTCCTTACACAGGAGAATAATATATTTAGTTTTAGTATTTAGTTTCTACCTATATATATTTGAAAAGTACACTGTTCAAGGTTTCCGGGGGTGTTTTTACAGTATGTGTCTACGAGAAATACTTGCAAAGTTTTTAGACGGCTTGGCTACATTTCTGTTTTATCTCTCGGCCAGTATGGCAGAGGGTTATTTTATGACAAAAATAAAATAGTGTGTTAAGGTTTCACAGATTAGTCGCAATATGTCAACACGTACTGACTTGTGTGTCTGTGTGTGTGTGTGTGTGTGTAAACAAGCAGCGTGGTGGTGCAGTGGTTGTCACTGTCACGTCACACCTCTGGGACCTGTGTTTGAGTCTCTGTCAGGGTTCCAAGTGTTGTGTCATGTGTGTGGAGTTTGCATGTTCTTCTTGTATGTCGTCATGGGGTTTCCTCCAGGTACTCTGGTCTCCCCCCACAGTCCAACAACATGCTGAGGCTGATGGGAGTTGCTAAATTGCCCATAGGCGTGAGTGTGCCGTGTGATGGGTTGGCACCCCATCCTGGGTTGTTCCCTGCCTTGCACCAATAGCCTCCAGAATAGGCTTCAGACCCCCTGTGACCCTGAATGGAACAAGCAGTTTCAGAAAATGGATGGATATACACTCACCTAAAGGATTATTAGGAACACCTGTTCAATTTCTCATTAATGCAATTATCTAATCAACCAATCACATGGCAGTTGCTTCAATGCATTTAGGGGTGTGGTCCTGGTCAAGACAATCTCCTGAACTCCAAACTGAATGTCAGAATGGGAAAGAAAGGTGATTTAAGCAATTTTGAGCGTGGCATGGTTGTTGGTGCCAGACGGGCCAGTCTGAGTATTTCACAATCTGCTCAGTTACTGGGATTTTCACGCACAACCATTTCTAGGGTTTACAAAGAATGGTGTGCAAAGGGAAAAACATCCAGTATGCGGCAGTCCTGTGGGCGAAAATGCCTTGTTGATGCTAGAGGTCAGAGGAGAATGGTCCGACTGATTCAAGCTGATAGAAGAGCAACTTTGACTGAAATAACCACTCGTTACAACCGAGGTATGCAGCAAAGCATTTGTGAAGCCACAACACGCACAACCTTGAGGCGGATGGGCTACAACAGCAGAAGACCCCACCGGGTACCACTCATCTCCACTACAAATAGGAAAAAGAGGCTACAATTTGCACGAGCTCACCAAAATCGGACAGTTGAAGACTGGAAAAATGTTGCCTGGTCTGATGAGTCTCGATTTCTGTTGAGACATTCAAATGGTAGAGTCAGAATTTGGCGTAAACAGAATGAGAACATGGATCCATCATGCCTTGTTACCACTGTGCAGGCTGCTGCTGGTGGTGTAATGGTGTGGGGGATGTTTTCTTGGCACACTTTAGGCCCCTTAGTGCCAATTGGGCATCGTTTAAATGCCACGGCCTACCTGAGCATTGTTTCTGACCATGTCCATCCCTTTATGACCACCATGTACCCATCCTCTGATGGCTACTTCCAGCAGGATAATGCACCATGTCACAAAGCTCGAATCATTTCAAATTGGTTTCTTGAACATGGCAATGAGTTCACTGTACTGCAATTGCCCCAACAGTCACCAGATCTCAACCCAATAGAGCATCTTTGGGATGTGGTGGAACGGGAGCTTCGTGCCCTGGATGTGCATCCCACAAATCTCCATCAACTGCAAGATGCTATCCTATCAATATGGGCCAACATTTCTAAACAATGCTTTCAGCACCTTGTTGAATCAATGCCACGTAGAATTAAGGCAGTTCTGAAGGCGAAAGGGGGTCAAACACCATATTAGTGTGGTGTTCCTAATAATCCTTTAGGTGAGTGTATAAATCAAATTTCAACTGAATTGAACTGAATAAGGCACTGCACAGGACTGCCAATAGAGGGAGCTCATTGGGGCCTTGCTGTAGTAGTCTCAATAAAGTCATTGCAAACAGAAGAAATATCGCTGGGTGATATTAGGAGGCTAATTTGGATTAACATGTTAATTAAGAGCAAATATTTGAGCCGTGTAAATTAATTTGTTTGTGAAGAAAAGCAAAACGTTTTGAAGCAGAAAACATTTTAAGTGCCCACATTTTTAAAAAGAATGTCAATAAATTGATGACCATTCTTAAAAAAGTAATAAAGACTAATCGTAGGGTTTCTTTAAACGCCCCGTCCCTTCGCTCTCCAGTACATTTACATTTATTTTTTTAGCAGATGCTTTTGTCCAAAGCAACATACCAGTAAGGAGGATAACACTTCACAGGGATACAGCTGACTGGGAGGTACAGTAGCTAAGATACCAGTGCTGCTAGGCTGAGCTCCCAGTGAGTGACAGTGTAATCCACTCAGAAACTGCTCTCTGCTTTATACAGCTATTTCCGCAGTACCTACTGTACCAGTGCTGCTAGGCTGAGCTCCCAGTGAGTGACAGAATAATCCACTCAGATACTGCTCTCTGCTTTATACAGCCATTTCTCTCAGTACTCACTGTACCCATGCTGCTAGGCTGAGCTCCTAGTGAGTGACAGTGTAATCCACTCAGATACTGCTCTCTGCTTTATACAGCCATTTCTCTCAGTACTCACTGTACCAGTGCTGCTAGGCTGAGCTCCCAGTGAGTGACAGTGTAATCCATCCAGACACTGCTCTCTGCTTTATACAGCCATTTCCCCCAGTACTCACTGTACTGCACAATCCCCAGCATCTTCTCCCAGACTCTTAACTTCAGAGACCCCAGGTGTTTGGCCACATCAATCAGTGCCCCTGAATCCAGCTCTGGGTCCTGCAGTGAGCACTGGGCTCTGCAAAGACAGGCAGGAGTGAGTGATGCTGTGGGGTCTGAAGGGAGTCAGACACACAAGAGGAAGGTGACTGAGAGTCTGCAGCATCATTAACTCCACTCAGTCCAGAGGTTCTGCTGACTCCCTGGCTTTGCATGTGTGTGTGTGACACTAAAAATATCCACTTAATTCTTGGGATCATCTAGTCCAGATTTCAGTAGTAATTGAAAATATATAGTTGATAATTATTACATACATTTCTTTGGTGTCCTTGTAGGCCTGAAAAAGAGGAAAATAATATGAAAGTGTATTATGAAAAATATTACATAGATTTCCATGGCAAACCAACAAACAACATAAAGAACAAAATTCCTGGGCAGAAATGCTCAGTGTCACTGAGATGTTTTAACTCCTTATATCTGCTTCAGACACACATTAGGACTGTTTGTCTCAACTAGCAAACACACAGAACAATGCAGGAAAATCATCTCCTACCTTCAAGAAGGAGATGTCCTCAGCTTCCATGGCCTTCTCAATATCTCTGATCTTCTCTGACAGGGTGGAGACCTGTTTGGAGATGTTTTCTATCTTCTCCTTCATCCTCTGGCTCTTCTGCACATTTTCCTTTCTCAGTACAGCCAGTCTGGCCTCCTCTTCCTCTCTCAGGAATTGATGGAGTTTCTCAAATTCCTCCTTTATCCTCTTCTCAGTGTGCTGGGACTGATTCTGACAGTGAGAAATGCTGTTTAAACCTGAAGGTAAATCTCACGCTAGCCAACTGACCAAAGTTGGCAGCCTTGGAAATTTGAAGTTAATTTTCACAGTGAAGTTTTAGTTTCTCAGAATAAATCTCCATACCTTTATATGTTTGGCTGTTTTCTCAGCCTCTTGTTTAACTTTTGTAAACTTCTCTAGCTTTTCCTTTAATGGAGTCAGTGAAGATTTGAGTTCCACCTGAGAAAAAATATACAGACGTGTAATGAGAGATAAATTGTTTACATATTGTTTACAGGTAATTATTCTGAATTAAAACAAAATCTCAGATTTCATATCTTCCTGGAGCCGAGCCCATGAAGTACAGAGTACTGGACGTTGGGTACCGAGGAAGTACAGGGCACTGGGCAAGGGACATCCAAGAAGTAGAAGGCACTGGGTAGGGGTCACCCAGGAAGGGATGTTAGTTCATTAAGAGGCACACACACAGACACGCACACACGCACACATGTTATTGTTCATATCTTTGTGGGGACCGTCCATTCATTTCAATGGGGAAAAACCCTGATCCCAACATTGAAAACCTTAACCCCTACCCAGTCCTAACCTTAACCATAAGTAACCAAACAAAATATAAGACATTTGACATTTTTGGTTTTTTGATTGCAGTCACATTTTTTTATAAAATCGAGTTTCCCCATATGGGGACCGAAAAATAGTCCCCAAAACAGCAAAATAAAAAGTGTTTATCACATTTTTGGGACATTTGGGCCCCACAATGTAATATATAATGATCCACACACACACCATTCAGCATGCTGCATACACATGCACATACCACTCAGCACTCTGTACAGTATATACCCTTTATCTGTTATACATGGCACAATCCCTGTCCTGCTGCTGCTATTGTTTGCACAATTATTTATTTATTGGTATTTACATATCTTCCATTTTTTTGCTCACTTTTGCTGCGAGAATACAGTATCTGTCATAATACTGTATTCATTCAAACTACTTCTGTTATTGCTTTTGTTCTGTAATATTGTATTGTTACTCTCGTGTTTAGTACTCTCTCTCTTTGCTCTCCTTGCACTTGTATAGTTCTGAATTCCTGCACTTGTGAAGTCTTGTGTTGTTTCTGTTTTTGTTCTTTGTTTGGCACCATGGCGATGGAGGAACAATATTTTATTTTATAAACTTGACTTAAAAACTTGATAATAAATAAATATGTTTATTTAACAATGAATACTTTCTGATACACGGCTAATGTCCACAGAAGAATGCAAAAGGCATAGAAAATAAGCAGACCTGTGTTTTGTATATTTTTTGTATAACTCCAACTGTTTTCAGAAAACGGACAGTGACTCATGATCCCTCTTCTCAGTCACCAGTAACACCCAGTACAAAAGCCACTAAACTAACAATAACAGTAAACCTCCACAGAATCCAAGCAAAATTGTTTTACCTATGGATCTTTGTAGCTTATGTTTAAGTGTGAATTTCTGTCATTCCAGATTTGTCCTCGTGATTTTAATGAGCACTTCATTTAGCCCCGTGTTCAATATCAGTGGCTAAGGAAGTATTGCCCACATACATGCTAACATTTCAGGATGAGTTGGCTACCAGCTCACAGCTACAGGTCAATATAACATCCTTGGGAAAAAATGAATGATATAGAAGAGAATACCTTCTTATCCTGTACAGCTTCTTCCACTGGACAGAGCTGGTGGTTTCTGTGTTTCTTTGCAGTCTGACAGACCACACAAAGGAGCTCCTGATCGTCCTCACAAAAGAGTAGAAGTTTCTCTCCATGGAGCCCGCAGCGAGATGCACTCTTGTGTTTTAGATGGTTATCTACAATGTTTTTCAAAACCAGATTTAGAGGAAGATCTGTCATGGAGGACTGTCTCTTGCATACTGGACACTCCTGAGATTTCTTCTCTTCCCAGAAATTCTGCAGACAGTCTCTACAGAAGCTGTGGCTGCACTGCAGGACAACAGGATCCTTAAAGAAGTCTAAGCAAATGGAACAAGATAGCTCCTGCTCGAGAGATGAAGCTTCAACAGCCATTTTACAGATTCAGTAAGTAGGCTACACGTTTTTGCAATTTCACTTTCACTTCTGTGTTAAGACACGCCTCTGGGATAGTTAGACAACAATATCCAATTTAAATTGTATACAAATTGACCTATTTTGGGGGAGATTTAATTTTTTTCTCTCAAGAAACCAACACATTAACTGTAAAGTACTTGCAGCATTCTGTGCTTCAAAAGAAGATCTAATATCTCCATAAAATTTTCTGATCATTAAAATAATGTCACGCCCCAATTGATCTATCTCAATAAATTATAGGTTTATCAGGATATAGTGTTTGTCTCAGGCATAGAGAATAATCTGCCCAGCCTTTAGGAAGAGACTTAGTGGTATAGAATCAGTGTGTTATAAAAATAAATTGTTGCTTTAAATTTGCGACCTGTCTTTGAGAGAATAAAGATATGTAGGCTATCTAGTGAACCACTATGGTACTGTACACTGTTTGATGTGAGTATATTTTTGTGCACCTCAACTAATTTATATTTCACTTGGCAAAGATGTCACCCTGTCTTGACATGGGATCTGATCTATAGAAATCCACCCATCCATCCATTTTCTGTAAACACTAATCCTTTTTTGAAATTTGAACAATTGATAATTGACTGCATGTTCTGTTTATCCAAATAACCCACATAAATATCTCCAGGCACCTTCCAATCCCCCGCCACATTTCAGCTGGTACACATGACAATATAGGTAATAGTGTTGTCAAAAGACCAGGTACTAAGGTACCAAGTCGGTACTAAAAAATTTAAATGTTACGGTACCAGGTTTTCTGAAGTACCGGTGGTACCGAGCATAGGTATACAGATAGGTGCGTATTGTGCAGTTGCGTCTTCTTCGTAAAGCACAGAGACATGGCGACCGGCGGTGCTGCTGATGAGGCGGCTCTGAATCCGCTCGTTGAAAAGAAAGGGGAAAGAGCCACGTGTGGAAGTATTTTGTTTTTGCGGCTGATGACAAGGGCAACATCATTGATCACCAGAAACCCATTTGCAAGCGATGTCATCGAAGTTGTATGTCAAAAGGAGGAAACACATCGAACCTTATAAAAAAGACCGTCACCCAGATTTAATGAAAGAATTCAAGCAGGTAAGTTTTAATTTTATTTTATATTTAGAGCTTTTGTTATAAAAAAAAATATACCCTATATGTTAATTTGAATGTCAGATTGAAATAAACATTGTCATTTGCTTAGTTAATCGTTTGCATAAGCGCGGCTAATGCTAACGCGAGTATCAGAATAAAGTTTCTTTATTAACTGTTTAATGCTCCTATAGCGTTTAAAACAGGACATAATAGCGTACTATTTTTACACACCAGAGGCTTTTAAATGACCTGTGTAGCCAAAATATGTGTGTTAGAGAACAAATGTATGGTTAATGTTTGTATCTTTAAAATCGGTCCATCAGAAAAGCAGTTCTAGGTTATGAAATATGGTTTGCGCAGTTTGATTAAATAAAAGTCCAGTCAGATACAGTCCTGTATAGTTTGGAAAGGCTTTACAATAAGATACCATTTATTTACATGACTTCATATGTTATCTAACATCAAGTTACAGTGAGTGAACATTAATTAATGTGTGTAAATGTTGTTTTATACAAAAACTTGCTCGTTCATGTTTGTACATTGTGCATTAAGTAATGTCAACAGGTACAACTTTTAATTTAACGAAAATATATAAATACATTTTTAAATTAAGAATAATAGTTGCTGTATAACACGTGTTTATTGTTAAGTCATGTTAAATGGAATCTTTCGTAAAGTGTTTTTAATAATACAGTTTCCGTCTGTGTAAAAATGATATCATACACTTAATATAAGTAATCTTATCTAAATTTATTTTCAATGCTCAATTTCTAAATTTTCAATGCTTGTAATTTATTTAGTTATTTAATTACTCAAATGTTTAAAATGCCTTGGTTTTGTTTTATTTATAATAATATTAAAGTATTGTTCAGTCATGGCATATTTTGTTTCATTTATACAAATGTTTAAGTTTATAAATAAGAAGTGTGTTATTCAGTCATGTTTGTTTATTTATTGTTTGTTATTAATAAAAATAGCTTGTTGTTCAATTCATTTTTTTGTGTTTTTTGCTTTGGTACCAAAATTGGTACCGAGAACCGTGGATTTTCACTGGTATTGGTACCGAATACTGAAATTTTGGTACCGTGACAACACTAATAGGTAAGTTGCAACTTTATTGGACTTGGACTCCTCCTCCTCAATCAGTACTATGGCTTTGAATCTTGTCCTTTGACTTGCATTTATGAATGATCTTTCATCAGCATTATTAATTTAAAAGTCTGAGATCAACTGTGACACCCCAGCAATGAGGAAGCTATACAAGAAGTGTCATCTATATTGGCTAAGCAGCACAGTTCCTTAATATCTCCAATTCCTGTTCCACTGGTCTTGTCCAGCTCTTGTCCCTGGTGAATCTGACACGCTTCTGCACAGGCATGTGCCTCCACATCTGAAGATCCAGGTGTTTAGCATCATCTCACAATCCAGCCATCATCATGACGTCCTCTTGGAAAAGAGGGGAGACCCGAACCTGGATCTCAGTCATACTGTTGCAGCTGAAAAAGAGACTGATACCATGTATTCTTCTTAGACCTTATAGTTTAACAGCTCTCTGCATCTGAATGTAGCCTTACTTCAAGCATTCATATGTCTGCGAGACTTTTTTTTCCTCCAAAGAACTCCATTGTCGCATGAATTTCATGATTCATTATTATGGAGTTATTTTGTGAATGTTTTTAGATCAACATGAACCTTATAGGTCCTCCCAGGTAGGTACGATCATCTGTTTCTTGAGGCCGGTGTAAATTTATCGATAGCTGCGGGTGTCGCGCAAGCGGCGTTTCTGTCCACATACCTTGTCTACAAACACCTGCGGTGTGATTATATACGTAGTGTTGTACCTCAGGCCACTAGGGGTCAGTACTGTTACTAGACACAGGAGGATAGACAAGGAGGGAGAAAAAGAAAGTTGTAAAGTGTTTCTCTCGGTCTGAATAAAAAGGAATATAAAATACAATTTAAGACAAAGTTCTTTATTGTTAAGAGAACAAAACATGCAGGGTAATATTATCTAAGGTCAGTAACATTAACTCGGAAAGGACAGTTGCTCCTGAGCTTTGCTCAGTCGCCGGTCGGGGCTGGGAGGACATTTTCCACTTTTTTTCCCGCTCCGGCAGTAACCTGCTTTGAGAGGGTTTTTTGTGGTTTTTTGGCCTCCCTAGAGCAACTTCGCTTTAGTTTAGCTAAAGTTAAATACGCTATATTAATATACTGGGCTGGGATTAAAGGACGGGGTCATAGTGAGTTAGGTAATTATGGGGCCAGCGCAGTGTTGTGTTTGCAAGATGTTTGCCCTTCTGGATGCCTGTGTATTGGACTCACTCATGATCCAGGTTCGTGACCTCGAGGAGCAACTGGCTCTCATCAAAACACAACAATGAGTTAAGGGAGAGAGCTAATACGCCATTTAGGGAGACGGTGTGTACGTTACAAGTGGGGAGGCGGGATAATGATGAACAGGTAGGTCGAGAGAGCTGGGTGAACGTAGATCATATATGTAGAAAAGAGTCGTACACATTTTACAGAGACAGCATCACCTGAACTGACTGTACCTAACAGCTTTCAGGTGCTTCTAGGTTTAGAGCCGGAAGAATCTGGGGAAGCAGAGGAGCCCTTGTCCCAGAAGACACTGCTGAGCGAGATGTCTCTGTAAGCACCCAAGCGAAATCTGGGCAATGGGACACCGGACAATTATCAGACGATGCTGGGCACCAGATAAGATCACATGGTCTCTGTGTGGGACATCCAGCTGAAGGCGAGCTAAAGCAGCCCTAAGCGTGCTCTGAACGGGAGCTGCTACAGAAACTGATATCAAGATAGAGCTCAAACCATCAGAACCACACTCTTAAATGACTGGACTGGGGAAGCAAACGGAAACGCGGACGAAATACAATGGACTAATGACAACAATCAGAAACAGCTGGTAAACATGGGGAATCCATGCAGGATTAACGAGGGGGCAGGACACCAGCTAGCGTTCTTGAAGACCAGAGACACCATGGATGAAATTGCTTCAATCTTCAGAGGAGACTGCGAGCATGAAACTTTTATGTTAAGACTATACTTTCAGGGATCGTTTCTGTAGTTTCTGACTGGAGAAATGCATTTTGAAAGTGTTTGGTCATGCTGGCCACGATGAGGAAGTGTGGCATTCTCTTCTGAGCATGAAGCAGTTAAAGAACATGGGATCTTTTCCATGGTTCTGTGTCTTTGATGATTGTGCCAGAATCTCTATGGGGAAG